TAAAAAAATTCGTTTCTAGTTTTGAGAGTTGATGTATAAAAAACTTGGATGAATTTAATTTAGTTGAAATGGATACTTTTAACAGTAAATCGCCATGACAGAGGAATCTATTTTTTGGTTGAACTGGGTCGCTTTTACATGTTAGCTAAAAAGTAACAAGTGATTAAAGTTTATGTATCAGAGTTCCATTATTTAATCTTCTCTAGGATTTCAAGGACATTTGATATGATCTTTATACGAGAGAAAATTTTTATATATATATATAAAACAAATTATTACACCATTACCAGTTCTATACTCACAAATACAGATTTGGACAAAAACAATCGTACAAAAAAATCTTGACAGAGTTCAAGTTATGTTATTTTGGTTGTTTGATCAAGAATACCTACTGATCTTTTAATTTTTTCGGCGGTTCACCTAACGCCACACCCACCGTACTCGCTGCGCCGCCAAACCCTCGCGATTCCAGTCCATCAACTAATTTGTCTCGTCCAATCTTTACCACCTCTGCGCCAATCATACGCGCAAAATTCTCTATAGGTCCGGTTAAATTTAGAAGCCAGACCACGTAGCCAATAAATCCAAAGAAACAAAAAGCCACCAAATAAATTGGTGAGGTTAGAATTGTTAAGAATTCGTTCCACCCGAGAACAACTAATAATTGAAACATATACATGAATGTTTTGCGAATGAGATTTATGCATGGACGAGATGGTGCGAAGTGTAAGCGGAACCTACCAAGTAGAAGATAAACCCAGTATGGTATATGCGCAGTTGTTGATACGACAGATCGTTTTGCTTCCAAGTAAAAGGCATCTGATTCGCGTTTGAAACGAACAGTCAGCTCGTGCTGTCGTGTTTCCGAAAGGATCGTTAATGATTCGTTGAAGTCAAGATCCTGTGTACAAAAAATTTAATTTAAAAAGATTAAAAGACTTGAACATCGTGAGCATGAAATCCAGAAAATAATTTGGTAAAGAATATCCTCGTACGTTATCTGAAGGAATATCCAGCTTGACATCTTCAGGGATTTTGATTTCAGTAAATAACGGAATCAGATTAAGTGCCTAAATATTCATGCATATATTTACATGGTGAGCTATGGATTTTTCCATGTATAAATAACAGCATTTATTGCGCAGATAAACAAAGTAATAAGAAACCTACCTCTTCCCTCGCCTTCCTGAAATGGGCATCGATATCGTCGTCTGGTTTCCATACTTTGGGGATACCCTCGTCATCATAACGGAATTTCTCCTCAAATCTAATAAACAAAAAATTCAAGTTTCCATCTAAAATTATTTAGATAACCAAAAAAAACAAACATACCGTTCGCGTAATTTAAGTAAAAACATGTTATCAGCAACTTCTTCATCGATTTTTTTCCTCAAGAGCTGCCAAGAACGCTTCCGTAAATTCTCCACAGACGTTTTGTTTTCTTCTTCGGAGGAATTAAAGCCTACAGACGAAAATAAACAATTGTTTAACATATTCTGAAAGGTCGACAGAGGGTAAAATAAGAAGTAACAACAATGGTCATAGTGTGCTATTATTATTAATCTTTTTCAAAACTCTTACTTTTAGCACGCCTCAATAATTGCTGTTCGGTATGATCAAGAATCTCCTTGAATTTGGTGATGATTTTCACCCACATCTCGGAACCAGGTTTATTTAGATATAATCCAATATGCTCATTAAGTTGATTTTGGAATGATTTCTTAAAGAATAAGGAATACGCAGATGAGAAACGATATTGTTTAAGAAATTTATAATTATTTATAATATGGCTCATTATTTCATACCTCCAATGCTTTGACCATTTTTTTCGTTTCCTCTACCCGTGATTTCGAAGCAATTTCATTTATCTCTTCGGTAAGCTGTAGATGTTCTTCCTCAAAGTTCCAATCAGTCTGGGTTAAAACAATAGCTAAAAAATAATAAAAACTATTAGTAACAACAACAACAACAGTCATAAATTTTCTCGGCAAAGGTTGTTCAAAATTAAGAATATTCTAAAACCTTTAGCGCCGTTGAGGAATATCCCTTCAGCCGCATCACGGGCACTCTCCACAACTTGAGCAAAATCATAATCTTCCCCCTTCAATTTTTCCTATTATTGTTAAAGTATAAGTACACGTGTTGTGATTCTATATAAAAGAACACGTTATGTAATACTACGAACTTGGACCATAGTTTTGAAAGTGGTAATAGCCTTTTTAGTAAGATTCTTTAGTTGCCCAAGGTAGAAAACGTGTAGTTGAGAATTGGTCTTGTTGAGTATTTCGGCTCGTTTCCGTTTGTATACTTCGACGTGATAACGAGAAGCATCTTTATCAAATTGTTCTTATTGAATAAAATAAAGATTTAGGATTCGGTATTAATTAGACATGTAAAAAAGGATAACAATTATGCTCACAATAAGCATTATTACTCACTTATGGTAGCATTTCGGATATCCTCCATCTGCGGTCCTAAATCAACAAGTACTTTGCCAGCTTCGATTGGATATCTGTACCCTTTGATTTTTTCCAGGAAGGCATCAAAGGCTACCTGTATCATTTTTTCAGTTTCCATGAAAAGACTTAGATCTAAATAACAATGAGCTTGCCAATAATAAATTATTGTAACATAGCTACTCACCGTTGCAATCTCATCACAACGATACTGAGCGAGCAGTTCTTGTTGTGTCGGTAAATCTAAATCTTTATTTGACATAATTTGATTCTAAATTTTAGAGTATCAAAAAACGAATAAATGCGGGGAAACATAAAAATATTAGAAGAAATAGCAAGTAATCTTTTGTATGTTAATAAAAACAAGAATTACCCAAATTCCTTCAGCGTATACATGAAACCCGTCTGCCGGCACACGTTTACTGTAATTTGGATTGAACACATAATCCTTATTGTCTTGATTCACGAATCTATCGTCGCCAATAAAATGAAAATCATAATAAACAATTAAAAGATAAGCATCGATATCTAAAGAAATGGGTATAAAAGAAACAAAAAAAGAACCTGTCACGAAGTTTTACGACTTCTTGCTCAAATTTATCAGATAGCAGTATTTTATGAGGTAACGTTGTGAACATGAAATCAAAGTAATCTTCTATCTGACAATTTTCCAAACCCTCCGGCTATAAGAAATAATAGAAATCATAAATTTAGAGTGATCAACAAATCCAAAGTGCAGTACAAAAGATTGTACATAAAATTTAAAATGACCTTGGAAACACTCTGCCAGATTCTTCCTAAATCTGCCGTCAAAGTATTAGATAAATCGGAAAGTGGTGTTGTTCCAACGTGATCTCTAATCACAAATAAAAGCAATGTCTTTTCTTTGCTATTTATTAAGAATAGATTAATTAAATTATTATCCAATTCCAATTCAAGTTATTATGATTAACAAATTCAAATTCAAATAATTAATTTATCGAAATCAAACATAGTAAATGTAAAAATAAATACCCTCGAGCTGCTTGAAACAGTTGCAAATTCACTTCAAACACAGTCTTGAGAAGACCCATATTTGCGCCATTGTATAGACCAACTTGGTGCTCCCATAGATTGACAATAATGACATTGGAGGTAGCCATTGAGAATAAAGCGCTTTTACGTTCGAAATCCTTTAATTATAAATTTATCATAATATTAATAAAAGATTTAAACTGGAAAATAAATGCGGACATTAGGTAAATCAGGGGAAAATAATTGATAACTTCTTTATAGTGCTTATTGTTTTGGGGATTAAAAAGCGGCGGAATAATTTTTTTTTGTTTCTTTCTTTTTAAGGAAATTTTTGTTTCCGCAAGTGGCTTTTCTTCTCTTTATATAGGTTAGAAAAATCAAATAATATCGTAAGGCTAATTGCAATGGCTAAACATAGTACCTGATCTTCTCCTCTTTCTCTTCCATCGGTCCCTTCGACATCCATTATAAGTACATTCATGTCTTCTCCGCGACTCATCCATATACCTGAAAAGATCGAAATTTTATAAATTAACCGAAATATTATTAAAAAGTTTTAACCTAACGAATCTCTCTACCTTTCGTCGTTTGTCTACGCGCCGATTCACTCATCACATCAAAATTTGTTCCGAATAAGCGATTAAGCAAGGTACCTATTAAAAAAAAAGAGTGGATCAATATAACAAGATCGATCCAATCACTCTATAAGACAAATCGTCGTTCGAACCCACTTTTCCCTGTACTCTGTGAACCAAAAACCGCC